CATTAATGTTGGCTGAGATGCGATAGTTTGTAAATAACTTGAGCTAACCTTATGAATTTGCTAAAATTAAGTAGCTATACCAAACTCGTTAACAAACTAACATTATTATTAGCTGAAATGCTATTAGTTTGCAAATAACTTGTGCTTACCTTATGAGTTTGCTAAAGTTAAGCATCGTTAGCAATATTAATGTAGTTAACAAACTAACATTAATGTTAGCTGAGATGCCATTAGTTTGCAAATAACTTGTACTGATCTTATGAGTTTGCTAAAACTAAGTAGCTACTGTGATGTCGTTGACAAGCTAACATTAATATTAGCTGAAATGAAGTAAGTCATGTTAGTTATGAGTTTGCAAAAGTTAAGTAACGTTAGTGATATTAATGTCGTTAACAAACTAACATTAATGTTAGCTGAGATGCAATAGTTTGCAAATAAGTTATACTAACCTTATGAGTTTGCTAAAGTTCATTAACGTTAACTTAGTTATATTAATGTCGTTAACAAATTAACATTAATGTTAGATGAGATGCAATAGTTTGCAAATAACTTGTACTAACCTTATGAGTTTGCTAACGTTAAGTAGCAATACCAATGTGATCAACAAACTAGCATCAATGTTAGCTGAAATTACATTATTTAACTTGCGCTAACCTTATGAGTTTGCTAATGTAAAGTAGCAACACCAATAACGTTAACTGACTAACACTGATGTTAGCTGAAATGACATAAGTTTTCAAATAACTTGTGCTAAGCATATCAATTTGCTATAACTAAGTAGCTACTGTGATGTCGTTAACAAACTAAGATTAACAGTAGCTGAAATGACATTAGTTTGCAAATAACTTGTACTAACCTTATGAGTTTGCTAATGTTAAGTAGCTATGCTAATATTGTTAACAAACTAACATTAACATTAGCTCAAATGACATTTGTTTGCAAATAACTTGTACTAACCTTATGAGTTTGCTAACGTTAAGTAACTATGCTAATGTCACTAACAACCAACTAATGAATGCATGCTATCACATCCTGATGATATAACTTACATAACTGAGTTAGGTAACATAATATTAAGCAGCAAATAGCTTGTACCAACCTTATGAGTTTGCTAACGTTAAGTAGCTATGCTAATATCGTTAAAAAACTAACATTAACATTAGCTGAAATGACACTGCACTGTTTGCAAATAACTTGTACTAACTTTACGAGTTTGCTCATGTTAAGTATCTATGCTAATCTCGTTAACAAACTATCATTAATGTTAGCTTAACTGACGTTATTGAAACCTGTTTGAAACAAGTTATTTGCTGCTCAACGTTATGTTACCTAAGATTTTAACGTAGTTATATAGAAATATTAGGTGGTATTGTTAACCTTGGTGTTACTGGTGGAAAGCGTGCGGCTTATGCAAACCAACGAACACATTTTGTTGTATCCTGATAACGTTTGTCTTCTAAACATAAAATACACAGTAGCATCTACACATATAATACACTTATTTAGCAATGATAAGCACTACAAATGACATATGTAGCCTAAACGTGGAACCAAATGTGTGGCATGGACGTCATACAGTGTAATAAATATACGCTCGGTAGGCTATTTATTAACGATGCGTTAGGCGCTACAAAACAATACACTGTGCAGTATAGTTAAGTGGTACGTAAGCGTTTATTATTGATAAGGAAGTGCGATAAACACGTAGTTTCCACCTTAACACATGCAATAATACACATGATTTTTCACTAAGGGTCCAAGAGGTGGGCTGGCCCTGAAGCTCTGCAGCGGTATCATATTGAAAACAACTGGCTAATTTTTTAATTTAACGTCAGAGAGACAGGATCAGGCTGTTCTTTGCCCAACACTGGTCCCAAGTAGTAAAGCTTCCTTTAAAGGGGTCACAAGCCAAAACGTTTAAACCTCTCCTATTCTCTGTGGTTGAGTTTTTACCCACTTTCCTATAGCTCTGTGGTCGCTCTGAGAATAAGACTCCTCCCCCACTCACTCGTGGCTAAGAAGCCACATTGAAGCACAGGCCCAGCATCCATCTATGGAGCTGAGTCATGGGACATTCCCCCTCAGCTCTTGTAAGGAGACCTTCGTTAATAATGCAAGGCGAGGAGCTCTGCAACGGGGCCCATTCCTGGAATACCTGACGCAGAGCAGCTACACCAGGAGGCCTTAACTGGATGCTGGAATCCTAACCATTTGTGGTGTGAAATACTGGCAGGCACCATCCACATTCCACATGGCAGTAAATACACCTGAGAACTGCTACTCTTTACTTACTACAGGCAGCGAGGTGAGCTGAGCAGCAGCCACTGTACTCATCAGTAGGATTATTTGGCTGCAGAAAATGAAGGTTTCATCCCCCGAGGTGAGGGAGAGGAACCAATGAACCAAGCAGAAGGGATAGTGCCAAGCACCTGTTCATGTGTGTGTGCTGATGGCACTGCAGAGAGAGGAATCACCCACTTCAACTGCACTAAAAGAGCTGGTTTAGAGCCAGTGAAATGATTTATTCCTCCTTGGTAAACAATAGAATAGAAGGTCAGGAAGACTGAACACAAAAATGACCTCAGAAGCACTCGTTGATGGATGCGAGGAAGGGTGGAGCTGATTTCAGATAGCTGTGCTTCTGTGCCCTTCAAAACAAATATTCTCGGTAACCTGGTCGCTAAAACGGATACTTGCAGAATTTGACTCATGCCTGCTTAAACAAGTGATATCATCTCTCGCTCTTGAATATTTCCTGTTACTCCCAACTGACCAAAATATGCAACAAAACATACTTGTGGTTCATGTGTTGAGCACTGTTTCTGCAGGTTTTGCTACAAGTTTGTTTGCATGTTTGTGCCTGCATGGGCAAACTCAATCCACAGCGCTGCACAAACAAAATATCAAGTGGCATTTTGGGTAGACAGGAAGAGGTTAGATCAACAACACCTCTGCTATGAGGGGGAAGTGCGAGTCCTTCTTGCAGCAACAGAGATTGAGCAACAAGAAGTAAACATTCAGTTGACTGCAAAACATCACCAGGGCTGAATTTCAGTCTATAGTAGACGCAGGATCTTCTAGCTCTGGAACACAGTGCCACAGATTAGCTGTCGGCACTGTTTCTGAAGACTTTCCTGCTGCTTGTGTCTGTGAGAAATCCTATTTAAATGTAGATGACAGAGCCACCGTTTCTTCTCCCATCTCCCACTCTCATCCTCTTGTTTCTCTCCATCCCCCCCTTTTTTCCCCGGCTCTGCGAGTGTCTCTCCGTTGCTGCAACTGCAGTGAAATCGAAGATATTTGACGGACCATGACGCCTGCTCAAAAAAATGCCCCCCCCAAAAAAAAAGTCCACAATCACATTTCGAAGCAAGACGCAGAAACATTAGAAATCGTCTTTGGATACGAGCACGCAGACACAAAGGAGGTAATAATCTGCATCTCAAAAGGAAAGATATTTAAAATGTAGGCTAACAATGGATGTTTTATTCATATTAGCTGTTCCAAAACATAGATCCAGGACTGCATCATTTATTCACAAGCGCATGGTGCACACACACACATACACACACACACACACACACACACACACACACTGCCAAAATGTTACAAGGCGAAACATACCCTTGAGGCTTTGCTTCTTAACCAGTAAAGCCCCAAAGCATTTTTAGAAAGCAGCATTAAGATGTCAGTGTGTGAGCTTTGTATGACGCTTTCACCCGCACGCTTTATTCCCACTAATTGCTTTCAGTAACCTGAACATCTGGGAGGATGCAGCTCGGCCTGCTGACTGAGAAACAACAACACAATTTATGGGCAAACGTGCAGATTCACAAGCGAAGTTTAACAGGTGAAAACTGCATTATGAGTTGTAAAGCGTGACAAATAAATATACATCAAGAGATTTCCCTTTACTACATTCTCTTATCAGTTTAATCTGCTGTATAAAATCCATCATCAGCTCTCACACTGTATGCTTTTCTAAGATTGTGAATCACATGAGCGGCACTTCAGTCACAGAGGTTAACCTTTGACCTTGAGTCTAACTCATGACCATGGTTATTTCCACGGCATCATAAACACAGGGGGATAGCCTCATGCTGGAGCACACACTATATGGACATTATATCCAGTATGTGTCTTTTCATGCACAAAAAACCACCACAGGTCGCACAAGCGAGTGCATCTGCCTCTGTCAGCAGCGTGACATATGCCAGCCAGCTGCATCCCTTCACAGCCTGCCTGCCGCCGAGTCAAACAAAGGAGCCTACCTGAACGTCTTTGTTGCGGACTGAGCTAAGGTGGATAAGGTGTCTCGCCTACTGTGACCTTGCTGCATTGTCCACATGGACATGCACAACTTTCACTGCATCACAGCCTGCGATGAGCAACATGTCAGGGGATTCAGATGATTCATTTCAGCCTGAAACATGTTTCCCAGCATTCCTCCTCTTCTGCAAACCAATACTGGTGTCATACATGGCAACAAAATGCCCCTCTGTAGTTGCAGTGACAGCCTGCAAAGCATCATCAATCTTTGTGTCTGCACTGATCCGGTGGGCAACAGCTGAGGCTATCTGCTGGGGAAAGGCTGCAGCTGCCCCAATACAAACAGTCTTTATTAGTATGAAAGATAGCCAGGAGGCATGTGTGTGTGCGTGTGTGTGTTGTCTAACATTAGGGCTGTAAAGCTGCTGGGTAATGAGTATTTGGGTGAACTGGTGCAGATCAAACTGGGGTCTCCAGGAGCTAAAAATGGTGCAATCAAGTAAAGATAATGTGCAAATATATCCCAATTAGAGCAAATAAATGGGTAATTATAGATTTGATGTGACCTCCCTGCATTAGCAGCAGCAATCCTGTAAAACAAGGTGCTAATCTTTTTCAGCAGGCACCCATGGGTGTTTGAAATTCCCTAACGTAAACACACAGACAGGGTGATTCCCCATTCACAACCACCCAGCAAAAATGATAAGTCACGCCGGGCCCCCTTCACATACCTCGGCACACAGCTGGGCGAGGAGCGGTCCACCTCCCAGGTAGCGTACAGGTTCATTTGCACCGGCCGGTTGGAGGTGATGCTGACCGGCTTGGAGGGCTGCATGTGCGGCGAAGGGACGCCCCCAGTCCGCGGGAGCCCTCCTCGCTCCGACATCCTGGAGGCTGTGGACGAGCTTTCAGGCGGAGCTGAGAGGAGGAATTACCCGTAGTAGCCTGGCTGCTTCTCCGTCTGTGTGTCGGTGTTGTCCCGTTTTAAGGTCCTCCTCCTTTCTTTGCCTTGTTTTTCAGGCTCCTGCTGCTGCAAACGCGCAAAACGCTCGCGCGGTACGTTACGGTGTCAACGGAAAGTTGATCCGTTTAAAGCTAGTCGCCGCCGGAGAGTGAAAACATCGCAGTGGTCGCGGGGGTTTGAACCCGAAGGCAGGCGGCGAGTCCCCGCGTCGGTGTGTGTGTCCTCTCGGTGTCCCAACTTGGTGTTGTTGGGGGTGTTTATCGATGGAGGAAGCGGAAATTTCTCTCGCACAATGAGCAGAAAGCACCGAGCTACGCCTCTTCAGCTGGAGGACGTGAAGCACGAGAGCGAGAGAGAGAGAGAGCGCGAGACAGAGGGGCTGGCCAATAGTGAGCTGTGCTGATGTTACTGTGCGCTTTGAAATCCTGTGTGTCACCTACTCTCACATTTACGGTTAACTATCTGTTAAATCAAGAGGGTGGACTCATATTACACTGTGCTGTATTACACTGTGTCTTATTCAACTGTACCTCATATTACTGAAGTTCATTATTAATTTAGTTAATCAAATGTTTGTTCTAAAATTAATTAATTTGATTACTTTTATTTGTCAGGATTATTTTTTATTATCGTTTTTTGACTACTTTTGCTTTTTTAAATTATACTTTATTATTTATTATATTTTTAATTATATTTTAATTATGTGTTTTATTGTATTATTATTATTATTATTATTATTAGCATTGAGGAAAATTATTTATTATATTATATTGTTGTATTATTTAAATAGAATATCTCCTTAATTATTGTTAGTAGAGTTATTAAAGTTTATTATTTATTCTGAAATTCATGTATTTGATTACTTGTATTTGTCAGGATTATTTTTCATTATCATTATCGTTTTTTGACTACTTTTACATTTTTTAAATTATATTTTATCATATATTTTTTATTATATTTTAATTATGTATTTTATTGTATCATTATTATTATTATTATTATTATTTTAAACCTTTAAGAAAATAATATGAACTTTTATTAATAGCATTGAGGAAAATTATTTATCATATTATATTGTTGTATTATTTAAATGGTATATTTTCTTAATTATTATTAAAAGAGTTATTAAAGTTTATTATTTATTCTGAAATTCATGTATTTGATTACTTTTATTTGTCAGGATTATTTTTCATTATCATTATCGTTTTTTGATTACTTTTACATTTTTTTAAATTATATTTTATCATATATTTTTTATTATATTTTAATTATGTATTTTTATTGTATCATTATCATTATTATTATTTTAAACCTTGTTGTATTATTTAAATGGTATATTTTCTTAATTATTATTAAAAGAGTTATTAAAGTTTATTATTTATTCTGAAATTCATGTATTTTATTACTTTTATTTTCAGGATTTTTCATTATAATTATTACTACTACTTATGCTTTGACTACTTTTACATTTTTATTGTATTATTATTATTTTTATTATTACACATTTTATAAAAAACATGCCATTTTTATAAATAGTAATATTGTTTAAGAAAATATATATATTTTTATTATTGTTCATAGAGTTATTTAAGTTTAATGTTAGTTCTGAAATTCATGTATTTGATTACTTTCATTTTTCAGGATTAGATTTCATTGTAATTATTATTATTATTTATGTTTTTGAGTACTTTTATAATGTTTGACTACTTTTGTAATATTTTATTTAAAAATACAATATTTTTATTTTATTATTCTATCATGTTTTTATTTTAGTATTCTTACTGTTATTATATTTATTATTAACAATTTATAAAAAAGTATGAAATATTATAAATAGTATTATTGTTTAACAAAATGATTTATCATATTGTTAAATGAATATATATTTCTGTATTATTTCAATACCAAACCTTTTTCTTTCAGTTTGGATTATTATGCTTTCTCTGTAAACATTGTTTACAGCATATACAAAGCACAGTATACCCTCTGTACTAATGTAACTATGGTCATGTAAATAAAGCTAATTTGAACTCAAAAGTCGCCCTGTGAACTTTGACCTAATTGATAAGCCAGCGCATAGCACTTTCACCTCTGAATATATTCTCAGATGTGATTGCAGCATAAAATATCGTGGACACTGTGATATGTTCTTAGATATGCTACTATTACCAAACTATAATGTACTCGCTATTAACAAGTATCTAATACAGTATAGCTGAATTCCTGCAGGTGCTGGAGCTGCACTGAAGGTGTGGTCAGATATAAACAAATACATACTTCAATCATTTAGGCCTGTGAGTTGTATATCTCCTGGTTATCAGTATAAAAGCAAATCAAATAAATGATTAACACCATGAACTCACAGTAGATTGTCACCTTTTCCTCCTTACAATGGCATTGATTGGAACCATAGATAAACCAAGGACAATATTGCCCCATCATTACACTCTGTGTGAGTATTGTATTTGTATAATGCAGTATGACTTCCAAACTGGAAAACAATAGGCCTTCTGTTGTTTTACTGAGGCTCAGTGGGGGTAGATTTGTGAATTGCTCTACGTCAGGCCCATATGGCTCACCATTTGGAGTCTCAGGTGCTGCTGAAATTATTCCCATTAGTCATACACACATGCAAGCTCACACACACACTTACACACCTTCTTTCAGCCGTTGTGACCAAGCAAATACGCAAAGGTGCAAAACCGGTTACAGTGAGAATTCAGCTTGCTTTCCTTTCATACTATGAACCTGCTGATGTGTTCCTTGTAGTGTCACATAGACACATAGAGGGAAAACCCATCTTTCAGTGCTGAGTGCTTGCTTTTACAGGCCTGATTATGCGGTAAAAATGTACTATGCTGTGTTTTCAAGCTGTAATTTGTCAGAAAACACACGAGTGCTTGTATTTTTCTATTTCAGTTCACCTCGTAATCAGCAGCTGGAGGCACTTCACCCTTTCCCCCCCTATGAAACAAATACAGTGCTGCTGCTCTCCTCCCCCAGGACTTGGCTGCTGGTCAGTGCAGCGTGAAACAGGTGCAGTGTTTGCACCCTCAGGTGACAAAGGCAGGGCTGTGATTACAATCTCTGCATCTGAATATGAATCAGAGGGTGACCTAATCACTCCGCCGACGTCACAGCGCAGCTGGCTGCCATCCGCTTGACGTTTCTCTATTGGCAGATTATCACAGCTGTGAGCATGGGGTTTACAAAATACATTATGTGCTTGAAATACAGCATGTTATTTAAAATCAGCTAAAGTCTGAAACATGAGGGGTTGTTGGAAATAACAGAATTCTATAAATGATCCAAAACTGACTGGAAAATAAATAACACTGTGCTGCTTGACTTGTTTTGGTCCAACCAAAAGTACCTGACATGTACACTCTTGGAAGTAGCATGAGGTAAGCACTGAATATTTGAAGCTTTGACAGCACTGAAGCCTCATCTATATTTATTTCTTTTATCGTAGTACACTTTGTAGTGGGGTTATGTAGTTGTATAGTTATTATCTTCATGGTGGATTAACTTGCCAGAAGGAGGAATAGGGCAAACTTGAGTGGTGGGCTCCCATAACCGTCCATTCTTCCATGTACCATACAGTCATTTGCTAACATATAGACCGAATCACCTTGACATCATGCTAACAACAATCATAACCAGGTAGACAAATGGCAATTGAATTTCAGTTGCGGAGACATGTAAAAGCTGTCAACTTGCGTTTAATTATGTATAGCTAACCACAGTCGTCCGACCTATCTGACGTTTCTGCTGTGCTTACTTTATGTACTGCACTGCCTTGCTAGTGTCTTTGATAAACCAAATCTACCAGCACAGAAGCTAAGTAATGTACTGCTGTGGAGGGAGGCCGCAGAAAGACATATATGAGCTGCCTAAAAAGACTTCAGGGTGTTCAGGCCCACGAAAAGTAAGGCACCAAATTTCGTACATATCCCACGTAACGATGAGCCAGTAATTCCTGCATAACCCACGTGACCAGTGTGAGCAAAGAACAAAGTGGTACTGAGGGGTCCAGTTAGGAGGTAGGTTGGAGAGTTGGATCAACACATTCTCACTCCGACCTCGTCACATATTGGCGTTTGGTCATGGACCTTCCAAGTCCAGATACAATGACCTGGGTGTGTTGGTTGTTGACGTTCTGGGATGCCGTGTCAAGTTCTGCCTGTTACATGCGTTGTCTTCTTTGAAAATACACTTCAGTTTTCACAGGAAATTTACTGTTTACATACAGTCTCTTTCAAAATAAACACACTACGTCAGTATAACAAAACAAATTGACGTTTTGTCCTTGAACAACTAATGCACATGGTTGGGTTCGGGCAACAGAAATATGTGGTTCGGTTTAGGAAAAAACAGCAGGGTTTGGCTTTAGAATCTTACAGGACGCGAACACCTGGTTGAAGGTCAGTGTTTGTTGGACCTATCCAGCACCACTCCCACCCGCCCTACTCAGACTAACCTAACTTTCGTTCTCGTCTCACCGTGTGTCCCTAATGCTGGCGAGCGCTGTTAAAATATAACAGCGACTGGACGGCTTTTTTCACCAGTGTCTGATGCTGCAATTCACTGCCCAAGCACCGGATTTTGGCGACTTCGGAGTGAGACCGGGTTTGGCGGATAGGTCATTAAACACAAGACTTTTCCCCGGAGACCTGTGTTGAGAACCATGAGAACTTTGAGTCATTTTAAGGGATGTCCTAACCTTGTTTTTTTTTCCTAAACCTAACCACAGTAACTTTACTTGCTTAGCCTTATGTTAATTACATAACTTTACGTGAAGGACATAATATCATTCGTGAGCCACTAATTTGTAGGATATCAGACAAACTGTTGTATGAGGATACACTGAAAGATCCACCTAACAAAATCTATATCAGTTTAAGTGAATGCCATACTTATAATATTTTCTTTTGCTTTACCTCACAGACTAACCAACTGAAGAAGTGGTATACCAGCAACTCCTGTGTTCTGCAACGTAAAATCTGTTTTTGTCAGTGGAGTCAGGTGACTTTGAGAGAATGGCTTTAGTTGCCTGTCAAAAAGGGCTGTTTCACGGCAGTGAAAATATTCCATACATTGTTTACACTTCAACTGATATTTAATTATTCTCAGGTGGCTATAAACTAACCAACTGAGGTAGTGTTTGCTCATCCTATTTTAATTTCGTCTTTGTGCAACCCTGTCTCACAAAATCCGATGCTTGAGCAGTAATTTGTGGTGTCAGACACCAATGAAAAAAGCTGTCTTTTAATGTTGGCGTGATACACGGCCGGTCGCCGCTAGAGTTTAACGACGCTTGGCAGCATCAGGGGGAAACGTGGCGGGACAAGAACGAAAGTTAGGGCGGTGAAAGTTCTAAGTAGGATGGGTTGGAGGG